GGAAAAAGAGAAGAAGAGGTGGCGGCAAGGTCGTCGGCTGGTGGCCGTCGGCATTTGATGGTGGCGGCAAGTGGCCGGCGTCGGCGGAAGGTGGTGCCGGATAAGGGTGGCAATTCGTGTTAACAGGTCGGGTTCGGGTCAGATTTTGGGTTATGCTTAGAAACTATTCAAAATAGTGTAAACCTTAATATTATTATGAAATATGGAATTTGGGTCAAATCAGGTCGAATTCGAGTTATTCAGGTTCGGGTCAGGTCTGGTTTTGGTTTGGGTTTCTCTCAATAATTTCGGGTCGGGTTATCGAGTCGAGTCAAGGATTTCCAGCCCTAGCACCGGGGGTGGAAGGTGGTGGTGGTTGGCGCAAGAAAAGTGAAGAAACAGAAAAGAGAATTAGAGAGGAATTAAGAGAGAATTAGTGTGAGTGTTTGTTCATGAATTAAAGGGTATTTATAGGCTAGCTCATGCATGAATTATGGTAGGAAAATGTAGGAATAATTATGGCAAGAAGAATTAAGGAATTATTTGGAGAAGAGAATAAAGAAATATGGAAAGTTTTGATATTAAGGTGATTAAGAATAATAAAAATAAGGAAAGTGTGTTGTCAAGAAAAATAATTTGGCTAAAGTGATTACTTGGTGAATAATCAAGGAAGATATAAGGTAGAAAAATATGATGATCAAATATTTAGGAGATGGAGAAATAAAATTAAGGAAAATAATAATTTTGAGGAATATAAATTAAAAATACAAATCACCAGAAAAATTCTCCCTAAAATCACCCAAGAGGGCCGAAAATATTGAGCTTGCATAGCTCAAATTTTCGGACCCTATAGTGTGTTTTAGGAAGTTATTTTGCTATATTTAAGGAATTAAAAATAATTGTGTAAATAATATTTATTATAAAATAATTCATTAATAAAATACCAATTATTCACTAAATAAAATAGTTTAGGAATTTTATTTAATTAAAGTACTGAAATATATATAAATTTTCTGGTTTTTAAAATAAGTTAAATAGATAATAAATCTTATCCAAAATATAAAAATAATAATTAGGTTTCAAAGTAATAATAAATCAGGTTTTCTATACATAGAAAATCCATAATTCATAGACATTAGGTTAGGAATTTTCGGCCATCTTAAATGAATAATAAAGTATAATTTTATTTAATTAAAATATCCGAAATATATATAAATAATTTGGTTTTTAAAATAAGTTAAATAGATAATAATTCTTATCCAAAATCTAAAAATAATAATTTGGTTTCAAAGACTTTTGGTGCCAAAATTCAAATATCATTTTGGCTCCAAAATTCAAATAGTAAGTTAAATTACTAAAATACTTTTTTTAGGGAATAATAATTAATTAATTAATTTGAAAAATATGTATCAAAATACGGGGTATTACAGTGATTGCTACTCGTATAATATAAGCGGGCTTACATTTAGTACGGTGAAAATTAGTATCCTTTTAAAAAAATTGTTTAAGAGGACCTAATAGATTTTGGATCTATGCAATGGAAATACGTAAACAATGAAAATTAATTAAAAAAAAAACACGTACACACACGCGCGTATATTTACCATAATTTTTGAGTCAACTCAAATCCTACATCCTCTCTTCCCTAATTACCCTAATAAATCTACTCCAAATAATAAAAGCAAATATAATGATTGTAAATATAAACATGAGATGAAAATATCCCACTCATAATTCTGGATGTGTAACATTCGCACTTGACTTTGACTTGACCAATGCTAATATATCACGAAAATCGATCCTTGTGACCTAGCCACATACAAGATACTCTTTTTCTTTCTCATAAATGTTTTCTCACAAAGTTAAGGTAAACGAACAATAAAATCCTATAATGGTGCGCACTAAGGTACTAAGGTGAATAAAACTTATGAGTTTTTATAGGGCGGATTAGAATGTTTGAGCCAAGCTTTTCAAGAGTAACATATTTCTTATTGTAGACACCCAATTATGTCTCCCCAACTCCAAACCCTCAATCGCTATAACGTTCATGTCTTGGTTTAACTAGAGAGCTTCAAGTGTGGTACGGACTTCTAGAGTACCTCGAGGAAGTATAGTGGAATTACGATGATCGTGCTTAGTGCATATTAGGGAGTGTGTAAGATTCTTTTTGTGTGTGTTCGAAACTCGAGGAATGAATCCGCCATTAATAGGCTAGGATGCTGGATTGGTACCCAAAATGCATGGTAAATGGCGTCATGCAACGCCAAAGGCGCGCCGCACTTTATCGTTGTGTGCAGTTTTGTGGCACGGTGAAAAAGTCATTTTTGGTGTGAAAATATAATTTTTACGCATGAAATGAAAACAAAAAATATTTGAAATCAATGTATTGTGTCACAATACATGCATGTACCATGTCATGTTACATTGTGCGCTATAGCACGGTACACATGCCATGTTGTGACGCTCCAATTTTCGATAATTTCCTTTAAATTAGACTCTTGCTCGATTTCACAAAATATGTAATCTTTATGCGCTATTTTACCATTCTAAATTGTTCTAAGGCTCAGGGTTATGTTTAAGTTTTTCTTTTAAGTTTTGGGCTTTAGTAAAATTAGGGTAAAGGCTTAGTTGCTGATAAGGAGCTTGGCTAGATGTTTGGACTAATGATGAGTTGGTTTAGGTGGATTAAGTGAAAGTAGGTTGGGCTGTGGGTACAATTCCAAGCACTCCAACGGTTTGTTATGTAACCCGAGCAATAACGGTAATGAAAGGTTATCCATCATCGGGTTGGGAGTTGGGGAGACAAAATTATGTATTTATTCTCGTTTTATGTACGAGTGTAATTTTGTTTTGGTCTTTTCTATGTTAGGTGCAAATGAGCTAAAAAAAAGATCAGTATCCAAGTCCCTTCTAATCCTGAATTAGTAACTTATTAAAATTATCTCACTTTTCCTATGACAACACGAAGGATAAAAAGGTAAAAACCTTATTTGAAGTAATGTACAATATAATACGGTATCAGAAGTTCAAAAAATCGATGTTCAAAATTTAACGGAAAAAAATGGGAATATCATCCAAGTCACAATTATATGAGCTATACAACAATTGTAACTCTCTTATATATGATGAAGATATTTCTTTGCTTACATAAGAGGAATCAAATCATTAAAATCATTTTCCAATCACCACATTAATTACATAATATATCCCAAATCTGAAATTTAGAAAGAATAAAAAAAAAAAAAGCAACTTCTTAGGAATAAAATCATATACATAATTATATAATAAAACTATTTGTATATAATGCCTTTAAGGTTTTTTTTTAATACCTATAATTAAATACGAGTCGATTTAGATCATGTTCTCTTAACCTTATTTAAATAAAATTCAGTAAAAATAATATTCAAATAATAGTTGATTGGCCGGTGTTTTGGTAGAGGGGGCAAAGAAGGGGGTTAGGGTATGGGAGAGCTGACAATGGGAACTAGAGAAAGAAAGAGATAATGGTGGAGATGGTTCATCTAGTGGCCGGCTGGGTAGGGGTGTTTAGTAGTAGGGGTGTTTTTTTTTTTTTTTAATTTTTTAAATTTTTTTTAGAATTAATTAAAATAAATAATTATATTTTTAAAAATTGAAAGAAAGTGACTTTTTTGGCAGGTTGTAGGTCATTTTGACATAATAAAAGAAATTCCCCTTACTTTATTCCTAGTTAATAAAAAAGTTAGATTATTTTGAACTAACTGTGCAATACTCATTGACAATTTTTTTATTTATTTATAAATCTTATTTAATTGAATTGGACAATCATTTTTGAGAGAATTTTTATATGAAATTATATTATTAATTTACTATTTTTTGTATAAAGGTGATAGAATGCAAGTTATTACTTTGTATAATTAAATTGTCTTTATTACACAAGTTACAACCTCATTTGGTAGATTAATATATAAGGTTTGTTTTGGTTTAGTTTCGTGTTAATGATAACTGGTTTGAAAGTACCTTGATCCAAACCTAGCTTGTAATAAAACTAGTAAAAAATCAATCCTAATCTAATATTTTTATCAATGTTTTTTAAAAGGTAAGAGAAAGACCCTGACAATACCTCAACCCTCACGATTTTTTTTGGTTAGGTATTTACGATTAAAATCATGGTTAGAAGGTGTAATCTTTCTCACTACATCATGCTTAGTTTGATAGCTTTTATAAATAAATAAGTTAACCCTTTAACCTAAATCATACAAAGGAGTGCTACCATTAAAAAGAGTGATAAATAGCTCAAGTGATTAGAACATTTTTCCTGGATTCAAGGAATTTTGGAATCGGTTCTCATCAATTGTCGCCCTTGTGGCTCGCTAAAAACCAAAAAAAGGTAAAGTAATAAAAAAATATATCAAGAAATCAAATACAAATTTATATAAAAAAAATGTGCATGATTTGAGTTATAATTTGCAATTTTTTTAAAGGCATGATTTGTGGAACTTCTTTGATATGTTTTTTTTGCTACTATCTCAATCCATTCTTTGTAATCTTTTTTAACAAGTCATTTTTTAAGAAGAAATCTGAACATAAAAGCGCATTCCCAACTTTTTTTTTTCCTGTGTTTATACAAGTTTCTCTTTATAAAGCTCCATATGTACTTGCTTTATTTATTTATTTATTTATTTATTTATTTATTTATTATTATTTCTCTCTTATTTTCTCGATCTCACGTGAAAAATAATCTAAAATTATCCCCAATAGAAAACTTTTAACATTTCTAATTATTTGTTGAAGCAATAATAATTCAGTAAAATCTTTGTGTTACATAGATCCTAAACTAGTTCTATATATTGTTTCCATTACGACAATTATCAAATAACAATTTTTGCTAATTAGATTGTTTTCTTTTTCCAAACATTTACCTTTTGTAAATCCAGTGAAAGGTAATAATTAAACTCCTAAATTTTCATACTTCAAACGGCAATTTCCTTACAAATTTTGTAAAAAGGTAAAACCTAATAAAACTACAACGATAATTTATAACTATTACGAACTTAACATTCCTTCGCGAACTGGCTTAAGAAAAGAAAAATATAACAAAAGCTATTTCATGATTCATCATAATCCATTTTTCTCCTCTATATCAAATTCAAGTCTTAAAACACATTGTCTGCATTTGCCACCTTCCTAAGTTCTTACTGCAAATTCATCCTCCCAAAATACCGATTATATCCCTACCCTTCTGCCCTTCTTGTCGTCTCTACATGCGTGAACCCTAATCTCAATCTTTTGGTATATCTCTTTGTCTCAATCTTCTGATTATTGTTAATTTGTTGATTTTTGTTACATTTTCATGTTTTATCATTTGGGAATTTGTCAATTTCTTTCCTTGTTTTTGTAATTTGAAATATTCGTATGTTTGTGTATTAGGGTTTCATGAATTGGTAATTGATTTAGATTTTCCCTGTAATTTCTTTATTTTTTTTGTTAATTAGATTTTATTTTTTTTGTTTTTATGTGGGTTTGAAAAAGCGAGTGTATAAATTGCCAAATTGGGTATTTGGATGATAGTGTGATTATTTGTTTTTGGTTGTTGCTGAAGAATTTGTGTCAATTGTAATTCTATGATATTATTTGGGGCATTTTTTTTGGGTGAGGAACTGATCACACATAATGTACTGTGTCAGTGACAATGGGTGCTCCGAAGCAGAAGTGGACTGCGGAAGAAGAAGCGGCCCTTAAAGCCGGGGTTCTTAAACACGGGGCCGGGAAGTGGCGCACTATACTTAAAGACCCTGAATTTAGTGGAGTGTTGTATTTACGATCGAATGTGGATCTGAAGGTACTGCAATTCTTCGTTATACGAGGATTTGATTTCACCTGTGTTTGCTTGAAATTGCTAGGATTTTGGCATTTAGGAAAGTGTACATGTTAAAAGGTCAAATTCTGTTATATTCTAGAGCCTTTCATATATTTTTTAATCTAGATTGGAGTGTATTAGTTTATTACTGAATAATTGAGTTGTTTTTTTGGAGGTCTTTCATATATAGTTAGGGCTGTTGTTTTTATTAGTGAATTGGTTTGAGCTGTAATTTTAAATGCGGTGCTGGTAACGTCCTTGTGCTAAGGCTTTTCACGGTTGGTTGATTAGGACAAGTGGAGAAACATGAGTGTAATGACAACTGGATTTGGGTCCAGGGAGAAGTCAAAAGTCGCTCTTAAAAGAGTTCCAATGCATTCATCTCCTGTTAAGCAAGAAGAGAACACTACTAGTGTTAGTGATCTTCAAAGTGATGAAGAGATGCCAGACGTCAAGAATGTTGCTACTTCAAGTGCACCTGTCGAGATATCAACTGCCCCCAAAAGATCCATTGTGAGGTAAGATATTCACTATGTTGATTTGTGTTAGATACTTGAATCCCATTGCTATACTGTTGTAAACTGTGGAGAAGTTTTAAGTTGTTATGTTCCTCAACGTATTTAGTAATGCCACTATCAATTCTTTTGGGTATATGTAGGTTGGACAATTTGATACTGGAAGCTATAACCAATTTGAAGGAATCTGGTGGTTCTAACAAAACTGCTATTGCTTCATACATAGAGGTAAACTGTCAATTGGTTTTCAGGGAACATACATGAACCATTAAAATGCAAAGTACTGGAAAATTTACTTATCAAGTGTTGGATTAAGAGCTTTTTTTTTCAAGCATTTGTTTGAAGAAGAATAGTTTGTATGATTTATTGTGTACGCCAGTGATTCCATTTCATGTCATTGCTTACTTGCCTGAACATATACTTCCTTCGTTTTTCATTTATTGCACCATGCCAATGCATTACTTTTATTATTAATATCTTTGATATTTGAAAAGTAGATTTTGAGGTGTATCTAAGTAGGTTCCACGTAATTATGTTTTTCCTTTTAGATAAATCACAAAAGATGGTCAAATAAGATTATGTGAATGGGGTAAAAGTCTTTCTAGTGCAATATAAGAATAACGGAGGAAGTAGTACATTTGGTTTTTGTTTTTAAAATGGATTCTTTATGGTAGTACTGGTAGATGACTCCCAACAAAATTCAACAAAATGATACCATTTTGGAGTTATGCAATAAGTTTTTTTTATAGTAAGCAAGTAAGCAGCCGGAGATAAATTAAATAGACGGCTTAAATATTTAGCAACAAGGATTTGATATTGATTTCCCAAGCTATTAAAATGACCATGGTTTTTAGGATATCTTGGCTAACTTAGAAAGAAAAACACGATGGTGAGTCGTGATTAGAGATAGTAAATGTCGTGTAAATTTTGATCTACGTTAGTCAAGCAACATGCTCACGGAATATTATCGAGCTTGCTAAGAATCTAAGATGATACTTTTTTTGTTTATATTTACTTGACTAACATTCCTAAAATGGAAATGTCATATTACTTGACCTATAGTATATTTAGTAAGTTTTTGGTAGACAAATTTTCTAAAATATCCTTATAAAGTGCATGTGAAGACAACTTTTGAGGCTAATAAGGTGAACCATGTGCACCAAATACAATTTCTCTCTCCTCTTCTTAAATATTTTGCCAAAGGCTATGGGTAAGTAAATAGAAATGAAGGAAGTGTATGTTATACTCTCTTTGTTGCTAAATAAAAGTCTCATTTTCCTTTTGCATACAAAGTTAGGGCAGGTGAATAAAAAATATCAAAGTTGGTAAGTAAAAAGGTTATAGTGCAATTTGGCTAATTAAAAGTCAAGAAGAACATATGACAATGGTTATTTAAAGTGAATAAAAAATAGATTAAGGTGAAAAGTGAGACCCCCCCCCCCCCCTGTTTTTTTTCTTGGACAAGTTTTTTTTTTTTTGGGTGAAATGATTCTTGCTTCCCTTGGAAGGGTGATTAAGTGTTTTCAATAAGGGTTGACTCATGCTTGCCTTCTTTCTAGGCTTAGGACCACCTCACCTTTAGCCTTATAAAGTTTTAAAAATTTATTTATTCGATGATATGACTTTGTGCATAAAGCTTAAAGTTAATTGGAAAAGCTTAGATAGCGATATTGTACTTAGTCAAAAGTGGACAAAACTTTAAGGTACCGTTACATTTGTCTAACTTGTTTGTGGCATTAAGACGGTTTGAGCCCAATGTTACATTAACACGATTATGAGGTTCACTTGTCAAATAGCAGTGTTAGGTACTATTGTCCTAGTTTTTGGTCACAGATAAGGACATAATGTGATTTGTGCTTTATTTTTTAGGGTTAGGGGGTGGATCCTTGTTATTGTTATTATGAAGATCTCTACCCTTTTCCCTTTCCATTATCTTAGCTTATAGCAGTTGTATTGCTTGCCTTATATAAGACTTATTTATCTTCACTTATCAATGCAATAATGTAAACACAATTCTATTTTATTATTTATAATTTTATAGGTGTGGTGTTTTTTGCTGGTACTTTCTCAAAATATAACAAAAAACCCCTATGGATACCATGATTAAATTATTGAAGTGAAATACTTTTACTTGTTTTATTAATAAAGACTAGTGTTTATGCATGTGATGCATGCTTAATAATTTATATAAAAATTATGATTTTATAAAGTCATATGGTCGGGGACCAACTGCGTGCTCCTTATCCCATTTGCCTAGTTGCTGTGATAATATTTCACTTTAATACTTAGTTGGCCATCCACCCCTATAATTGTTGTTGATAAGTCTCAGAAGATGGAAAAAATTTCCCGCTGATTCCATCTTGTTCAAGATATAGCAAGTAAAATAGCTTGACATGTTTTAAAGACAAACCCTTTAACCAAATGCTTTGTAGAGGAGAGACATGCTACTCCTTTTGTTGCAGTGGTTATAAAGGCATTAATGGGAATATTGGAGGGAGGATAGTGTGGGTGTAAGGTGTCTTCAGGTTTAGACTGATTGAGTGGTTAAAGGAGGGGAATGGTGGAACTCCATGGCTAGCCAAGAGATTTATCTTTGGATAGTGTTTGAGTTGGTGTTATATCTGTTGAATTATCTCATTCCTCCTTTCCCGATGAAATTAAGGGATAGGTTTGAGAGATTTCGAGGTGGAATTGGTCCAAGTATATTGGGGAATGATGTGATGGTTGCATTTTTTTTTAAGGCCCTTATACAATTACTTAGGACATATGGTGGGTCATCCCTACAAAATGGATAGAATTCTCAAAGTAGAAGTAGGAGTTGGATTCCTTCGCCAGAGAGGATTGATTTGGTAGGGATTGCAAATTGAATGGCTTGCCATGGGAAGAAAACTATTATTGGCATATAAGATACCGTCCATATGATGGACCAATCCCATTAGGGTGAAGATAGGTCGGATTTGATCCATAAATCATGGAGGAGGTAAATGGAAACACCAGATGCATAGCAACATATGAGCTAATCGAAGAAAGATGGAAATATTTTGTTTAAAAGGATCCAAGGTAATATATTTGGGGGATGAAGGAGGGTAAAAGATAAGAAATTTCAATTGCCATGGAGTTTGATTTGAGACGTTTTTTTGTAGCCACATGCCCAACATTTCTTAGAGGCCTAAATGGGGTCCATGGGTGTCATTTTCAATGGTCCAAGCAACAATAGATGAAAAAATATGGACCAAAGGAGACTGGAGTGTCATCTTCCATGGTCCAAGGAGCAGTAGATGAAAAAGTCTAATGCTTTCCCAAAGTTTTGCCAAACATAGGAACCTAAAGAAGTTTTTTTTTTTTTTTTTTTGGAATGGTTCTGTTCCTAATGCAATACAATATTGTAGGAATTTCCATCCTAGTTTTACCATAGAGATCTTTTTAGAAATGGTGTTTGATTTTATCCCTAATTTCCCCATGCTCTTTGGTCCACATTTATATTCCAAGAGACCATACAAGTTTTCCGTTATATATATATTTTTTCTTATTTGATCTCCAAATAATATCTTTAGAAATTTTATGAAGGGATAAAGGATAGCCTTAGGAAAAGGATATGTTGCATAGTATAAAGAGAGAGAGTTTTTAAAAAAATAAAAAAAAGAGATAAAGTTTAGTTTGGATTTGATTAGCAAGTCTTCCAGCTTTGGAAGATATTTTGTCTTCCATTTGGAAAGTCTGGATTGCACTTTCTATATAACTCCATTGATTTAGCAGTCTTCTATCGAAGGATACCAAATAGGTGCTATGGTCGCTAGAATATATTGATAGGCTGATTGGTAAATAGATTTTGCTTTTGGATGGCTCATTTTGAGACTAGAGGATGAATGGAGAGTGATGAGTGTGGATTGAATGACTTGAGTAGTGTATGGTGAAGCGTCTCCAAACAGCAAAATGTCATCAACAAAAAGCAAATGAAGTATTTGGAGGGATGATATGGGAAGGGAAAAAGGGTCCATTAACCTTTGAAGCACGAGTAATTAATCATTTTAAAGAATAGCTCCATGCAAAGGATGAAGAGATATGGGTTGTCTAATTTCCCTTGAGGGCTTGAAGGTGGACTTAAGTTCCCTCTGAAAATGAAAGATATGGAGTTACTAGAGATGTAACTCATTATTATCTTGATGGTGTTGGCATTAACCCATAGTGGCATAAGACTTTGTTAATGAAATCCCAAGCAATCATAATCTTTTTCTAGGTTAATTGTGATTGCAAACTAACTTCACTTTCCTTTCACTCTCATGGAGTTGAGAATTTAAGAGATAGTAGTTTACCTTAGTTCCTCTCTCAGAAGCTATTCTTACTTGGATAAAACATGGAGTGAAGCATGGATCTAATTCTTTTTGAGATGATTTTGTAAGAAGTTATGCTATTCTTATGATTGTATGTTGATTATTAGGATTGGACCAGGTTTGGATAATGTAGAGGATTTCGGAATAAAGGTCATCATTGAATGATTCTGGAAAAAGAGACTATGGAACCCATCCCAGCAAGCTTTAAAGGGTCCAATTGAGAAGACGGAAGGCGTGACTTTTCTAAGAAATGCATTTTGACTAGGTTTTTTTTTCAACCTAATCAGGGAATCCTAGGCATAAATGACCTTTTAGTAGAAAATAAGTTTTGGAGTTATTGGTGATGTGGGATTGCAGTTGGATAGTGTTGAATTGTCTCCCTGTCCCCATTTGGTTATTTTTGCCATTTGCAATTTGGACACCAATGTTATATTCCTCCTTCCTCCCTTCACTTATATACTAGGGTTGAATAAGCCTTAAATAAAGCAAGCATTACAATTTATTTAAGCAATATAATGGAAGGAATGTCGGCTAAAATAATGACCTACTTATTTACACAACTTACTCTTGACAAATAAGAAGACATTCTAGGATTTTAAACAAGATCCCCACTAATGATAAATGCTTAAATATAGGAAAGTCAAATAATTAACATCAAATTACTTAGTCATCCAACATTTCGTACTCAGGTACGTACAATCTTAAGAGAGGCCCCTACTCGTCTCTAAGATGTATCTTGCTTGAATTTATATTGATAGTGGTAGCTTTCAGGTTTGTTTTTCTAAGATTAAGATGATGATGCACTTGATACGATGCTGATGAGGGTTTAGCACATTAGCATAGCTGATTTCATTTAGTGGCATTTAACTTACTTTGGCTTGTGTATTATCCCAAGGA